AGAATGAAAAGTGCGCGAATATTCAGCATAATGAGTATAGCATTGAGGATAGGCCATTTCGATCTAAGTAGTAGCTTCTAGATTTAATCTCATACGTAAATATAACGTCACAATGCGCGTTTTGAAGCAACATTTGTTATAAAATGGCGACGGTTTTTGAGCAGAATAATTAGGATTAGAATACTTTTTGAGCATCATCAATATCTTTTAGAACATATTACAAGCAAGCTCAATAACAATGAATAATGTACTTACAATGCGTTTGCAGTAACATTCTATATAAAAGACCGCATATTTTGTAAAGCCAAATGAACATATAATACAATGTGGGCGCTGTGCTGTATACTTTGTGCTGTATAATTTTATTACTGATTAGAATACTTTTGAGCATCATCAATATCTTTTAGAACATATTACAAGCAAGCTCAATAACAAAGAATAATATACTTCACAATGCGCGTTTGCAGTAACATTCGTTATAAAAAAGACCGCATATTTTGTAAAAGCCAAATGAACATATAATACAATGTGGGTGCTGTGCTGTATATTTTGTGTTGATTTGTGTTATGAAATTTTATACAAGAAACATATTGTACTTATAGCGATTATTATGTCAAGGCTTTTGCCGCTGACCAGGAATTTAATAGGCGCGTCCCCGATAATCGCCCGGGTTATAGCATTCCCCTATTGATAACAGTGTAAAAGACCATGGTAGATATAATATGCATCAATATACATATTATATCTACCATGGTCTTTTACACTGCTAGTATTGATATTCTGCGTTATACTAAGTGGAAGTTTAAGTTGTTTGGATATTCAAGAAGGTATTTCCATCGAGATTTTTAAGCTGAAGAAGCTTGTGAACGCTTTTTGGTGGAAGAGGAGAGAGCTTGAACAAGCAAAATTGGAATAACGACGACGAGTATGATCTTGTGAATTTTAGGAATTTCTATTTCCACAGAGTCAGAATGACATATAATGCTTTGTGCATCAGTAAGGTTAGATTCTGACGTAGTTACTTGCTATAGATGATAAAAATCACTCAATTATGCTTATGGCCCTTAATGATGTATGTATCAAATGGAATTAATATGGTGGTCAGTCACTCAAAGTTCATTAAAATGACCTCGTATTTTCATTGAAAATAAGCCATCTCCTTAATTATCAAAGCTTGCTATAACACTACAGCTGTGTCCTTGAAGCTGTTTGCTTTGTACCATATAGATCATATAAATATAAAGCATCCTTCTCAATGCTTAAGCTTGCTATAAAAAGGCAAAGCTCCTCATTCCCAAAAGCTGGTTACTTTGTAACACGACCATATGTACAAATAAGCCACCTCCTCAATTAGTAAAGCTTGCTATAAGAATGCAGCTGTGTCCCTGACAATGTTTGCTTTGTACCAAAAGATGTACATAAATAAGGATCCTACTTCTCAATTTTTAATGCTTGCCATAACACTGGAACTGCATTCCTGAAATTGGGTTTCTTTGACCATATAGTTTTACAAATAAGCCACTTCCTCAGTTCTTAGAACTTTCTATAACACTGCAACTTTGTTCTCTAAGATGTTTGCTTGTACCCTATTGTAATATAAATAATAATTATCTTTCTCAATTTATAAAGTTTCCTGTAAAATTGCAACTAATTCTACAAGCTGGTTGCTTTGTACCATATAGATAAATAAATAATGAGCCTCTTCCTAGTTATAATAACATTAAGCTTGCTAATTTGTTGTATAGCTAAAGCTCATTTCTTTGGACATGATCATTCTCTAACATTAAAAAAATAATTTATGTACCTCAACCATATAATATATAGTAATATTTTCTACTCAATTTGTTTTAGTAGATTGGCTGATGGAAATTGTCTTTACAATGTTTCTTGTATTGTCATGATTGCAAATGAAAATCTTTCCACCATACTGCGGTTTCTCACCAGTATTGAGTTATATGAAAATGCTTCATACTATGCTAAGCATCCCCTTTATTTCTCAGTAAAGACAGAGAAAGCGAGGTTATTAGGAGGATTATTATATGGAATTATTTGACCTGAAACGAAGCTTGATTTCTTTTTCGTCCTTGATGTTTTAACGGGTTGATTTTCACTTTTCTAGTTTTCGTCCATAAAAAATAAATCGTTTGAAATTGTATCGTCTAGATAGTTTAACTGTTTTCCAAGTGTTTTTCCTTCGAATCACATTCGTAAATGCTTTATTGTTTCGTTTATTTTGCGTTTTGCTGTTTGCTTTACGAAGTTTGTTTATATTTGACATTAAATTTACGCTTTTTGGACCGTGGTCGGAAAATAATAAACCGGTAAAAATGTTTCTGAGCCAATGAAAGCACGCCACCTAGCCGGAAGGGACGCTTCCCATATAATAATTACCATTATTTAACATTATAGTTACCATTACTTACCATTTTCTACCACTACTTACCATTACTAACAATTACTTACCATTAGTTTCCATTACTTACCATTACTTACCATTACCTACCACTACTTACTTTATTGTTAGCTTTTCTGCAATGTTATTGGTTATACATATTCTGTTAGAGTGATGGATCTTTGGGGTACGGAATGCGCCGGTTATTGAAAACTTGAATTTAACCCCGTATTGTGAAGAGTATAAAAGACTTGGCTTTGGCTCTGTACTTGAGGAACGTATAGGGAGTAAAAGTGGACCTTGGAGGCTTTCTATGGTCAATCTTTCGTACGCAGCTTGTCGAAGGTAAAGTAATAAGAAAAATGGAGGACATAATTTTCAATTACAGAATTGTTATGCTCAAAATTTGCGAATAAGACTTAAGAGCATTTAACCCTTTCTTTATTACCATAAGTGTTTTAAAACTCATATTTACTATCGTGTAATTTATTTTGCTAAATGGTAAGCTTTACAAGTCTTTAAAAAATAAACATGTTTCTAGAAAATAGTCATCACATATTGTCGATTTTTCTTTCAGTTACCCGTCTGTTTTAGTGGTGCCACAACACGTGACCGAAGACTCTTTGTTGCGCGTGTCTAAAAACCATCGCCATATGCGTTTTTCTGTTGCGACGTGGAGACATAAAGTCAATAATATCGCCGTTGTATTGCGATCTTCTGCCATTGAACGAAGCTCTGTGGCATCCATCATTTTCTCTGGTGTAGCTGCAAGTGGTGGAAGCACTGACGCAATACGTTCATCCAACGTGGAGCAAGATAAATATTTATCTGCCGTTGGTTAGTTGTTTACATTTGTCGTTTCAACGCTCGTCTCCTACCCTAACATTTAAGTTCCCTCCCCCCCAGCGTAATGCCCCCCCCTTTATTACATACAAACAGATCTATTGCCACCCTTTGTATCACAGTAATATATATTACTTCACTATAATCATGGGTACGGTTTTGTGAATTCTCGCTTTTTTGAAAATCACATTTTGAATTACATTGAAAATCTCATTAAAGAATCTTCGAAAAATAAACGAGAACTAATGAAAATGAGTTGTACAATTGTTTTTCTAAAACTAAGTGATTTAGATATAGCTTGATTGTTTACGCTATTAATTTATGGATACTGTTGATTTTTGTAAAATATTCATGTATTGCAATATAAGTATGTAGGGACTATTTGCCATTCTTTAAGTTTTATTAACATTAGCAAATGTATCTGCATTATCACTTTTTTTCGTATCAATCCTAAAGTTTTGCTTTAAGCATAATTATATGATTATGTAACTGTGATTTTCTATGCTTTTAATTTTAAGTGTCTTCAAATCCTGTATCGTGGAATAAAGCGGAGGCGAAACATCGTTCACTGGCAGCCAACGTCAGCATGTCTAAAGCAACGATGAATCTACGATCAAATGACAATGCATCTAAACGTTTTTCTTATGAAAGATTGTTATATGCAGTGCGGTGTTTGGAATTAAATGTAAATATGATCTTCGCACTTTGCTGGACAATTTAGGCAATTTTCTCATGAACCTGAAAAATTCAGGTGACTTAACGGGATGTCAGCGGTCGGATGTCACCGTTAATAAACGTTTTTCTGTTGTGGATTCCGTTGACTAAGCAATAACTGAGCATAGATGGGAGCCTGCCGCACTGTACGTTTTTTAATCTTTCTTGATGTGTTTATTATCTGTATTATTATTTTAGCGATAGTCAATGGCGATAGTAGTGTAAGCCCTCAATACCTAAGCGCAAGATCTTACGTTTTGTCTTATCCAGTTCCTTTGAAATCGAATGTGTTTTTTTAGTCCATTTTAATATACATATATAAATATTCTCCACTCCCCCTCCTCCCAATGATCGAACTGGCAATGTCGCTGCTTCACGTACGAACAACTACAGGCAATACTTCATGTTGTTTTTTGTACGTGACGTCATTTGCTCAAGTAATGTTAGATCCATACTACCGAACGATTAATAGTTTTAAAGTTTTAGTTGAAAAAGAATGCTTGTCCTTTGAACATCGTTTCTTGCATCGCTGTAATCATACACATTCAACGCAATCAAGTCGATTCATGCTTGTTTTCTTGCAATTTGTTGATGGCGTCCATCAGGTTATCATTGTTTCTTAAAGTTATCTTAAAAAATTGGGGTTAAGATGGTCTTGTGTCCGTCGTCTCAGTATTGTGCAAAATGTTTTTTTTATATTACACAAGAAAAACGTTTGACAAAAGCTTGTGTTAAGCATATTGTTGTTTTTTTTTTTTGAAAACTTTATTCGATCAAAAATTTTAGTCATGAAGTTAAGACGCTTTTCTCGCCATAAATTTGAAATATACATTTAACCCTTAAAAGCAACTCTTTCGTGGTCATTATCTTCAAAATTTTCTTGCATTGTAAGACTCAATAAACCTCTCAATGACTATTTCAGTATCTTGTTAAATATCAAACTTTTTAAAGTGCATAGATCAGGTTAAACAAAAAACTTCTCTAAATAGTTAAATTCATTTTAAGAACATGTGCACAATATTTTTTCAATGGTCTTTTCGGGCCTAGAAATATGTTACTTATCGCCATCAGTGACGCACTTAAGAGAACACGCTCGTTTCGCAAAGTAAAAACACCGTATATTATTAAAGAATTTTGGTGGGAAATGCTTAGACATCGATTGTCCCCCATCATTTTCATTGCTCTAATTCCAAATTGTTGATAAAGTGACATAGCTATTTGCTCATATTATTTGTGCTTTTAGTTACTTTTTTTATTTTTACATGAAAGTTTGGAAACATTACTCATTTGTACATATTTTTTATGTTCTCAGGAATTACGTCAGTATCCACTATCCTTCGAATTCAACGAGTATTATTTACATTTCCTCGCCTATCATCATGTCTCAATGCGTTTTCGTACGTTTTTACTGGATTTAGAGCACGAACGTGTGCAGATGGGTTGGCTATCAGATGGTGAAAAGAAAGATGCAAAGACTTCTAAATCTCACATAAAAAGTCTTTGGAATTACATCGACATGCTACACAGAAAATCATCATTATTTTATAATTTCAAGTTTTCGAAAGAACATTCTGAAAAGGTGAGTTGTTGATTTGCAGCCATATTTTAACAAATCTTTGCAGCACAGTTCGCATGCAATATATTGAAATTACCTGCATGCTTTTCGGTCATGTAGTTGTGTATTCACCATCAAATTGATTTAAAACAAGATGAAAGAAAACAGGCATTTAGCTATTTTTCAATGGACGCTTTGTTTATCTTTTATCGAACACGTGTATTGATTAAACTTACAAACATCATTTTGTAAATCCTAGAATATCCTTGATTTGTTTTGTTGTATTTAAATGACTTTATTTGATTGTAAAACCCATTTAACTAAATAGAACTGGAATGTTACTTCCCGCCAAAAATTTTAAGGCATCAATTTAACTAGTCCCAATCCTTCCACGCGCGGCCTAAAAAAGTCCATTTACAGTGATAAGCTAGCGGGATTTCACCCATAGATATGCGTGTCTGAGAGTAAAATTTGGTAGTGTCAATGGTTAAACCTGAACATTTTTCTTCTCTAGACAAAAACGAGGACAAATACGTATTTCTGTGTATAATTATATTGAGCGATGTTTTTAATGAGATAGAACAAAATTTGAACAAAATTTATTTGTGTAAATAGGAAAGGTTTGATTATAAATTGGAACGATAAAAATATTTTTGTTGTTAGAATTTCGCTAACAAACACTAAAATTATAATTATTGAGCACCTAAAATGTGTTTACTAATTCACAAAGACTCGTTTACTTTATTTTCTCTAGAAGATTTTTTTCTCGTAAACCATATTTAATACATATTTCTAAATTTCCAGGTGCTTCGTCCTCATTGCAACGTTTCCAATCTAAAATTATGGAGTTATTTTGTTTCGGAGAATGTCTCCACTGGTCCAGAGTTTGATAAAGAAGTTATAAATGAGACAGAAACTGCTGCCGAGGAACGACAACAGAAGTTAGAAGACAAGTACGATGCCAACAGGTATGAATAAGTTATTGCGTTAAGAAGTAAGTGCGTTCCATTTAAAACGTAGCAAAGTACCTCTACGATTTGCGTGTTTCCATTAAAAATTAGTGAAGTACTACTATACTTAGCGTGTTTCCATTTAAAAATTATTGAGTACTTTAATAGTTAGGATGTTTCCATTTAAACATTATGTAGTGCTTCCATTGTTAGCATGTTTCTATTAAAAAATAAGTTCAATGCCATTCGTAGCTTGCATGCTTAATTTTTTGTTGCAAACTTTACTATATGTTTAAAAAAGTGATTTATAATATTCAAACGTGCGTAAATTATTGAATAAAATAGCTAACGCTTCATATTGTTTACTAGACGCTGTCGAAGTGGTATGTTTCGTGGATCGGTTCATTACGACAGTAGTAGCTGTGCATATCATTTGTACGAATATAATCGCATCGAAGAAGAGGCTGACAAACACGCAACTTGTTGGAAAAAATACGGGAGCGTTTGGAACAGCCTAAAATAACGAAAACGGTATTTATAGCAAATATACTTTCATTGTGACGTGTTGTTTTACTTTTACTTTGTAGACATAAAGTATAGGTCATCCACTGGCTTTTTTGTAAATGGCTTTTGAATATCATATTTTAGGTCTCATTTAGGCAGCATAACTACTTTTTGCTTACTGGAGTGTGTGTATGGTGTAAATACCATTACAGATTGCAGTATATGCATTGTACGTATGAAACCGTTGCAGGTTGTGGTGTGTGCATTGTATGTATGAATACCATCACAAACTGGAGTGTATGCATTGTATGAATACCAGACTGAAGTGTGTGCATGGTATGAATACCATTACAAACTGAAGTGTGTGCATGGTATGAATACCATTACAGACTGAAGTATGTGCATTGGTATGAATACCATTACAGACTGAAGTATGTGCATTGGTATGAATACCATTACAGACTGAAGTGTGTGCATGGTATGAATACCATTGCAGACTGGAGTGTATGCATTGCATGAGTACCAGACTGGAGTATGTGCATGGTATGAATACCATCACATACTGTGGTGTTTGCCTGGTATGAATGAACACCATAAGTGACTGGCATTTTTTCTTTACAGTTTTTAACATACAACGAAGAACTTTCCAGAGTCCGTAGTGGTGTACTACACAAACGAGATACAATGGACATAATACTTGAGGTAGTCTTTATAATTCTTTTTCTTTATGATTAATTTTATATTGATTGTAGATAATTTATAACTTCAATGACCATTTTATGATTACCTTATCTTAATTAATATTCTCGTTCATGCAATAAAGTCGTTCTATTTTGTGATTTTTGGTAAAATAATTTCTATTTACAAAAGGATTTTTGTATCAGTTTGGCAACTTATAAAAATGAACTTTTTAACATTTAATTTTGCTGTGCTGGTAGCACTAAACCGTGAAATTGTATTGGTGTTGTCTTGGAATATGTTGTATTCTTTAAGTACTAGAAAACACTTTCTGAGTTTCTAGAGAGTTTCAGAAACACGTGATTAGGAGAGACATAATAAATTACATGGCAAAGAGGAACACGAAGTGCGTGTGTTTGCAAAAAAATTTCGAGTTTCTTTAAAAATTTCACGAGTGTTTCTATATAAATCAATAGGACTAGGCAAATATTTTTTTGTATTTTCTTTATGAAATTACGTTTGAAAGAATATAAAGACAATAAATACGCTATTTTGAAAGATTCTCGAACACAGTTTGTGTACAAAATTTTAATGTCTCTGAATTCTGATTTTTTGATAAAATCTTGAAAAGTAGTCAGTTAACGCATTAGTTTAATCTTCATTTAATTTCTTTTTACTGAAATGGAGGTAAAATTCACATCTTAATGTTGGAACTTTTGTAAGTGACCTACCTTGTGGCGGCTCACTTAACATGACAACACACCTTTTGTACTGGTTTCAGTAAATAATTTGTTTTGTTAAGTGACTTACCTTGTGGTGTGTCACTTCACATGACAACACACCTTTTGTACTGGTTTCAGTAAATAATTTGTTTTGTTAAGTGACCTATCATGTGGGGGCTCACTTCACATGACAACACACCATTTGCACTGATTTCAGTAAATAATTTGTTTTGTTTAAATTTTCATAATACGTTGATTCCTTTCTCACGTTAGCTAGGCTTTTTATGCCTGTCAAGAATTTAGCTTTAAAAAAATGTCAGCATTTTTGTGTTTTGCGAAGAATAGACAGCAATTGCTTAAATTTGTAATTCAAAATTATTTTTACAACTTTTGCTGCGTATTTATACCTTTGAAGTAGAGAGTAACTTTGTTACGTTTATAAGATGACCTTGTAGAAACTGATTTCACTTAGTTTCTTTTAAAGCTACATACTATGTGACAGATGTTACTTTTATACTTCAGGGGAAACTTTAAATCGAAGACTACAGTAACCAAGGTTTTTCACGACCTCATTCACTTGAACCTCACAGTTTCTTTACGCCAACCAACTGCGATTTCTGTCTACAAGTGATATGGAATATTAGAAAAGGAGGTATGGTTTGCTTGTGTATCTATTTATCTATGATGGCCATACAGTTGACTTTCCGTTGCATCTATAAACACGCTTCTTTATCTTGTCTACTGTGCAAAGTTTCTATGGAAGTTTTGCTAATAAAATTTTACAACTAGCAAAGCTTTATAGCAAAATGCACGCGCGTTCATGTTAGTTAAATACACCCCTAGTATTAATTTAATTCTGAAATGAAAGTGAAACAATCGCAGCTGGTCAAAATATAATGGAGAACGTGAAGACTCTCGTTTGCATTATGTTTGTAGAACATACTTCGTATTAGGGAAGCTAAATAATATGAAAAGTCGCTGCGGGAAGTAGCGTTCTGACCTTTTATTAAAGATTTAGGAAAATTGTATATTGCTCATACATAATCAGTATATCCAATGTTTGCCACTATTTGAAGAACATTTGTATTTTAGGTTGTTGAATTAAAACCGTCAGTGAGTGTTTTGCTTGCTATTTTCATGTTCATAAATAAAACGAAGACATAATATTTTTGTTTTGTTTATATTTCTTTCAAATTTTTGAATAATTAAACAAGTTTCTGTGTTGCAATTTTCAGCTGGTAATTCAATATTATGCTAAAAATATATCAGCATTTACACTCTTTCTGTGCAATTTAATTTATAAATAACATTCAATTATAAGTACTAGAGAAATGATCAAAGTATTAAAGCGAGCATATGCACTACGATAAAAACATCGCAGAGTTATAACTCAAATATAAATCTAATGTTTTGCTCAATCATTGCTCACTATATTATTTAAAAAATGTTATGATTAACAACAATAAAAATCATAAGGCGTAATACCCTTGTTTTACATAACAATATATTCCTACGATGGTTCAAATTCCTTTGCATAAAAACATTTATTATACACGGAATTAAAGGATGCGTATGATGTTTTTATGAGATGAGTTCAAGAAAGTTTAAATCGTTATCAGTTCAAGGTATGATACACAAAAATTAAATAAAGTTGTAATTACTATACGTCATAGATGATCAGTTATTTTATCTGTACTATTGATGATTTCGTACTTTGAATACATTCTTAGCTGGCTTTAATTCTTAATCGTTAAAACTTTTACAAAACCAATAGTACCTAATAAACATTTAACAATTATTTGTCGTGCGTTCCCTTAAAGCAGTGAGTTATGATTAAAGGGAAACATGATTGAAGGATTTTAAGCTTGAAAGCAGACCGGGAGTCGGACGATTCGACAATTTAAAAATCAATAAAAATTATTCATAACATGAATTTATAGTTATAACAAAATAAGGCCAAATTAAGCGTACATATTAGTCTTCTAATATAAATTTGAATCCACCACTGAATGACTAGTATATAGCGTAGAGACACTATAGATAAATTTTGATTGAATTTTATGTGATTTAAAAAGAAAATATTTTGTTTGAGCTTTTGCACTAAGCCTTTTCAATGTCTTATTTGCGTCTAAGCATCTATACGACGACATGTGAATAATATATAATTTAAATAAACTACTTCATGGTATGTGAGTGCGTATGATTTAAAACTCAACGTAGACCATTTCTCTCTTACGAAGAAACTTAATTGTTTCGTATTTTCCGTTGTTCCTTTTCTTTCGGACCGAAATGTAATATATTTCCTGAGGTATTCACGAAGTTGCTTGACGGAAAGTTGTCGATGCTCTGGGATTTATATTTGTTTCAGCAATAAAAATTCTTGAAGAAGTCTATGCCCGTATTCTAAAAGCTCACTCACATTCACATATATTGAGAACGGCATAAAAATCACACTCTGTCTAATCATTAACAAAGTCATTTCTCCATCTATGGCAAGATTTTCTTCTAGTTATTTCAAATCAAGAAATCAGTTGAGAGAAACTGAGGCTTTGAATATGTATGAAGTGATTTCGAAGCCCCACTCATTGACTGAGTAATGCTGGGCATATTTTCTGTGTGCATGCGTTAAGTCCATCTTTTTTCTGGCTAGTAATTTGACGACTGTGTACTATGAAGTTGTATTGAAAAAAACGTTTTTTGGAATATTAGTCATCTCATATTGGTAAGATAGCGAAAGGTTGTAGAAAACAGGAAAGATATATAAGATATATATATTGTGAGAGCTGATAATTTCATTGCTAACATATACGTAAATGTTTGTTTATTGGTAAATTCGAACGTTTCAACGTAGGGTATAGGGTTGTAAATATGGTTATGTTAACGAAAGTCGAAAATAGAGTCTCTTACGTTTTCGTTTTTTCTAAATTATATAATTCAAAATAATTGAAGTCTAATTATGAGGTGTTATTTACTACAAAGACTAACGAGTGCCAGAGTGCAAAACGTACTTATACAAACATCGTAATATTTCATGTTGCAACATGCATGCCAACTTTCCAAACTTACGATAAAATAACAATTCAATGAATCCAATAATGATTCATGAGGCGTTTTTGTGAAGAGACCGTTCATTTTAAGAAACATCCAAGTTTACGCCAATAAGAGTGTATACATTTTAACGTACAGAGAAAATAACAGATTTAATGACTCCAGTGCGAGACTGACTTTATTAACGTTATTAGCAATATTTGTAATGTTTTGTGAATCTTGCCCGTCGACCAGGCAATATTTCTTTGATTATGTCGAATGGATGCAACAACTCGAGCCTGACGAATAACGAAATTTATTATCTTGCAATGTTTATCTTATACATATATTCCTTACTCACTCAGACTCTATCTTCAACCCATTCACCACAAAACATCACATCAAGTCTATTGGTTAACAAAAATTGTAATAATTAAGGAGAATTTGTCCCTCTGTCAGTAGGACAATCAAATAATATAACTTATTTCCAACAAACTCCCCCTATACATCTGAAGATAAGATTTATATTTAAATGGGTTAATTATCTAGTGAGTGTTTCAAATCTCATCGTTTTCTTCGAATTCCTCTAAATAACCTTGAAGACGTTCCTCCTTTCGTAAAGTATCACTCCACTTCGCAGTTTTTATGAAGGTGCCCCCATTGTCTTAATAGATCTTCCTGGGTCTTCCCCTCCGAGCAATGAACCGTTTCGAACTGTATGAACATGGAAGCAGATAGGTCCGGCATCATGTCCAAGTACACTGCTCGAGTTAAACTACATGAAAACAGCGCCAGATATGCTTTGCAATCCTTCCTTGACTTCTTTTTTTAACGTATTGGTTTCGCAAAATCTACGCCAATTACCTCGAACGCTGTTTCGCCACAAGTCCGGTCCTCCGATAACTTTCCAGGCGAGGGTGTGGAAACTGATGTCACTCGATATCCTTTGCAACCAAAGCACTCCTTTCAAACTTTCTTCACAAGGCTTCTTAACTTCGGTATCCAATACGTCTCTTTTACAGCAGCCATTGTCAACCCAACAACTCCATGTAACGTTTCACTATGCAACTTTTCTACCACCCTTTGAGCGAGCAAGGAATCTGAGGGAAGGTAAATAGGATACTGAACTAAAATTCGGTCACGACATTCTAGACTCCCTTCTGTATTGCGCGTAAGATTAGGTTCTTTGCAATGTTGCTCGTACTTAGGTTGTAATTGACCTTGCTTTTGGGCTTGTTTGACAAATTTCATCTTAGTCTCTTCAATCTCGGTCAAGTATAATGGTCCTGTTTTCTTTTCCCTTTGTGTACAATGGTTTACGAGCCTGAAGAGCCATAACGACAGTCTTAGTGCTGGTTTAAGTGAGCATTTTCTTAATAACTGTTCCAGAACATCACCACTCTACTGTTTTGTTTTCATTGCGATACTTTTTTCTGAAAAATGTCGCTTCTGCTTCTGTTAAAGTAGATGGAGTTGTGGTTATATTACGTGGCCATCTGCTCATATCGGATAACCATTCTGGACCGTAGAGCCACGTCTGATTTAATTTTCCACCTCTGCTGGCCAAATCTGCGGGATTTTAGGATGTTGCATGGCACTTATCGCCATTTTATTTCATGATGTTGGTGTATCTTACGGAAACGGTTTGAGACAAACTGTTTATACTGGCCACGTCCAAGGATCCAATGCAAGACGACAGTGCTGTCTAGCCATGCAAAACTTTACGGGTCGGCCGTGATAAATGATCCAAATCATTTTGCACATTCACAAGAAGGTTCCCTGCCATGTGTGCTGACACAAGTTCTAGCCGTGGAACTGTTAGGCCCTCTTTTGCCAGACGACTTTTACCAGCAAATAGAACTTGAGTAGTTCCCGATTCTTGAAGAATAACTGACTACACTGCAGCTTGTACACCTTGTGTTCTAGCATCCCCGAATGCATGCAGCTCTAATGATTTGATTAGTTATCAGAACCAAGCTAATGATCGCGGAACACTTACTTCACACGGAAGATTGCCCTTTCAGCAATCCCATCGATACTTCAAAGAATGGCTTAGCTGTACATTCCATAAGTGCTTTTCCTTACAAATATCACGATAAATTATCTTTCCCTCTAGAATTAAGGGAGATGTAATTTCCAAAGGGTCATAAGCCTGAGCAAATCTACTCAGTATTTCTCGCTTCGTTTTTGCCGATTTCTCTGATGGGATCACTATGGAAATCTCGTCACTTTTTTTTTCCATAACTTTAGATTCTCCAGTTTTTTCCAAGTTGTTGTTTTGCTAAAGTTTCTTCTTCATCATCTTTTTCTTCTTCATCCACTTGAAGCTCATGGGCATTTGAGTTCCACTTATGCAATTTGAACATGGGGTCGTTGAATACATCGATTGATTTCCTTTTTCTTTCCTTCACTTTGTTTGTCCCCCACTAAGCAAATCGTCTACATACATAGACTTCTTCAGTTCCTCAACAACATCTGGCATCTTTGTTTTCCAAGTTTCTAGTGTTGCTCTAACACTTCCCCAAGTAGAAATGTAGAGCAGGTTAGGCCAAAGACGACTCTTGTGAATCTATATGTCAAGGGTTCAGGTTGACTGTCAATCTTCCAATGGAACAGTAAGGCATCTCTTTCTTGTTCTTTTATTTGGATCTGGAGAAATGACTTTTCTATAGCCCAAGTGCCCAAATCTGCAGCGCTATAAATGCAAGCTTGAATTTGATGCGTCGTTTGCAATGTTCACATGTTCATGTCCCATCCTTAATTTATACAATTTTCCTTGTATATCCCCAACAGCTAGAAGTTTGGAATTACGAGATGTCTTACACTTGTTACCTTCAAACATAACAGTAGCTCCAAGTTTTATGGCATAGACTGATAGTAGATTCTCGTCCAATTCTGTTAAGTCCAATACGCTGCGTAATGATATATTCTGAACGTGATCATCAAGTACTGCTTTCAAATGATAGGTGCCTTTTCCATATGCTAAGATTGATCTAATATCACCTAGATTCACCACCGAGGGTTGCTTGAATGTCACATAATCCGTCAAAGCTACTCTTTTATATAACATATGCTGGGTAGCACCAGAATCTATGATCCAGTCTGATCTTGCAATATGTTCAGATCCATTGCTTATCAAGGCTTCATCCTCATGCACTTCGTCATCTTGTCCTTCGGCACAATCCGCTTGAGTGTTTCTGTTTGTACCATTCTTAGTTTTCTTGTTTGGACAGTCACGAGCATAGTGTCCTTTCTCTTGGATAATTGTGACATTTTCCTTGAAAAAGTTTTCTGTTGCTTCCATCGTTCTTCCCTTGCTTATTATTTTTATCACTACGATCCTACCACGAATAAATTTCCTCTATGAGCAGAATACGCATCTTCCTCAGTATTCTTCAAATCATTAGTACAGTCCACATCATTCAGAATTAAGTTCTTTACTTTTTTAAAAGAGATCTCTGTTTCTCCCATGGCATCTAAGGCTGTTATTAATGAATTGTATTGCTCATGAAAGCTAGCTAACAGCGTCATACCCAATTCTTTGTCATCCACGTTGACTCCCGTTTCCTTGAGTTGCTCATGCATTGATTTGAGATGGCTGATGTGTTCAAGCACACTATTTCCAACATGGTATCTACAGGAATAATACTGTTGGCGTAGTTTCACGTTCTAAAGAAGTGATTCTCGTGCGAATTGATTTCTAATTGCATCCCATGCCTCCTTGGCAGTTTTCGTATCTCGCACGTGGATCTGTTGCTCGGGCGCGATGGCCAAACTGATGTATGTCCACGCTTTCTTCGCAGCCGAGTTAAACTTCCTTCGCGTTTCAGCACTAGCATCCTCATTTGGAAATTCAGCTGTTCCCCCCGCATGCTCGAAAAGATCCAGACTTTCCAAATACAGCTTCATGTTGAAAACCCATGAGCGGTAATTACTGCCGTTCAGTTTCGCGAACTTTAACACATTCGACATATCCAACGTGGCCATGCTTAAATTTCGACTATATAACCTTTTTCATTTTTATTGCAATGCTTTTTCACTCAAATACTGACCTTCTACGTTCTGGGCCCATAACCTGTTGATATTTGAGTGATTCATTATAATCAGAAATCAGGAATACATTGAATGGAAATGTAATTAATAGAAAAAATAGTTCATGGCTTCCGTATAACATAACATGTGCTAAGATAAGATCAATACTTCATGCAATAATATTATGGTGTAACATTAAACAATCAATAATACTTCATATTGCTAACAAGTTTCGCCATCTTTGCCTATTCGGGGACGATTCTTTGTTTTTGTTCTGGCATACTCCCCTCCCCCAAGAACGACATGTACTGGAAGCTGAGCCTTCGTGTCACCATCTTGCATATCAACCACTTTTAGGTGTGAGTATTTGGAAATCATATGGCTGTATTCGGGGTTTTTTACTGATAAAAGTTCACTTTTTTCCACTCTTATTAAATCTACTTCCATACCAAACTCTCCATCGAGTGACTCCACTTTAGTTGCATAGGTCTCTAGACTATCTACACAACTGTACTTACACACATGATCCCCCTAACTTTCACTGTCAAGACTGGAAAGACTCCTTCGTTGGTTTTTGTTGCGGTCATCAGGGTCTTCTTCCCCATTGCTTGGTCACACAAAAAAGTATGATGTCTTCTCTCGCAATGTTGACATGTTTTTTACTGGTACAATCTGCAGCTCTATGCCCTTCTCTGGTGCAGTTGAAACAGCGGCGCTTTTTTACCAATAGTTGTTTTCTTTCTTTGACATCTGTTACCTTTGAGCAGTCCGTTGATTTGTGATCTTTGCATCGCAATAGACACATTTACCTGAACAAATTTGGTGTTGAACACTTTTTCGCGGAGCCTGTTTCGATTTTCTTTCTTTTCTCTTTCACATAAAGGATTTCGCCTAGTCCACAAGGTTAAGGCTTCTATTAGCTTAATATAATCCCCTTCATCCTAGTTGGGATCTGCACGAACCAAGTCGCTTCTTATACCAGACAATTTGTCCAATGTCGTTGCAACACTTCCATTGATCTGCTCCAGTTTTCACATAGTTTCTAAAGACTGTACACAATAGGTGAGTCTTTCGCAGAATTTATGCACTTTCTGTACATTGGCCTCTGGTATATTGGGTAATTCAAGAATTTCTTTGGTGTTGGCTTTAATCACTTCTGACTCCTTTTCATACTTAGACTGAAGTATACTTTTTGCTCGGTTATACCCTTCACTAGTGAAAGGTAGTGCTTCTATGGAAGTGCTTGACATGTTTTTCAAACAACTCTCTCAAGTATGAAAATTTGGTTGCATTGGAAATAGTTGATTTGTCAATGGATATCGCTGAACTGGTTCCAGAATCTTGGCCAATCTTTGTAGCTTCCATTAAATTTTGAAATCATTAGCTTTGGTAGTTTAGCTTCCAGGTTCCCACTAATTGTAGAACTCATTACTCCTGTCTCTTCCGGTTCGTCCCTCTTGGACTCTTCCAATTGTGTCCTGTAGTTATAATCACTGAAGCACTTTATTTCTCATCAATCGCGTATTATAACAATAAAAGTCTCAATACTATCAAATGGTAGGCTAACAAGTTTAACTTATCTGCTCTGTCTGAACACTACCCCAAGTCTAGAGTACGTGATTCCAACAATAATTCACAATAGGTTTTCCAAACAGAATAAAGGCGCAGAAGCCAAAAAGGCTTTGTCGATGTCTCCAAGAATTGTAGGGTGTTGTTTTTTCGACGTACACCGCCGTATAAGTTATTGTCAACTTGCTGTGCCTCGAAAATTGTCCTCAATAAGTTGTACCCTGTAAGTTGTTCTCATGCAATAAAGATAAACTACATATATATATATATATATATATATATATATATATATATATATATATATATACAAAGTGTATATACAATGTGCCCTCCCGGCTATCACAATATTAAAAGGGTGACTCCTGCACTTGGGACACAGGACGTACGGTTACACATTGTATGGATTGTATTGTAGAGTCACCACAGTGCTCAAACCTATAAAGGTGAGCTTTGCATATCGCTAACACGGTGAACGTCTCCATTTGAGACTCTACACAGCCCGACAGTGCTCAAACTACGCACGCGCAGTGAGTGTAATATACAAAGTGTATATACAATCGTTCAATGTGTCCGATCGTTTCTTCTTGAATTGGTTCCTCTTCGACCGATAGGGGGTGTTGCCCTGACGACGGGATAAAAAAGGGCGCCTTGCAGTTTCCCTTGTTTGGAATGTTGCTGCCAAGTGGCATTAGAATAGCTTGTTGTCGCTTTGCCAATCTTGTTGGATGTGCGAATGTGATTAATTTGGGTTTGCAATTCGTCTTCAAGAAAATATTTCGTAATGGGAGCATGCGATGCGCATAATTTACTAAATTCTTGGTGGAGATTGGGACGTATAGCGTCACGTTGTCTTTGAGACAATTCAAAACTTACATGTCCCAGAATCACTATGATATCAGCATTCATACGAACAAGATTATCAATATTCAATTCGCTGCTGTTATTGCGGGCAACCATCAGTTCATTGGTGGTTTGTGCTGCTATATGACCGACACTTGTCACGGCTGATTAAATAGCACTAAATTGTAAATTACGCCCTATAGCTGTGGAATCTAATTTTTACCAAATTTCGGGGTTTAGCTTAGGTAGAATAAGGTGATCGCAGTTCTTAAGCCTAAAATATTTAGCCTGTTTTTCCTTCAATTGCTCGACGCTCAGCTTATTCAGCCATTACTGGTTGATAATTGAGGCGAGCTTTTTGTTGACGATTGGTGAAGTTTTCTCAGTTTCGTCTAGAGTCTGCAAAATCTCTTCCAGAAACGTGTCCATTGCCAGTTGTTCTGCTTTAGAATTGCGCTTGGTCGAAGGTCCTTCGTTTTGTACCAACAAGACTTCACAATCTGCGTCATGCCCTAATCCAGGGATTAAAACACTTGCTTTCCTCTTACGAGTAGATTCTACTGTAGAGGATACTGACATTTGCTGCATTAACCTGAGTGATTCACTCGATGCAGTCTTTTCTTCACTCATCCTAGAAAGGGCAGTTGCCACACTCAAACTCTTTGATGTGACTTGCACTTCTTCGCTTTTTTCCATCATTTCATCTTGTTCATCCTGTTCAGTAAAACCCAGGAGTGCTGCTTCATCTCCGACATCATCTCTTGTCGTATACTCTTCACTTTTAGAAGGCATAATTCAAAAAATTTGTACTATAGAGTGGAAAGGAACATTTTGTAACTGATTGCTGTGAAATCTACGCTTGAACTGATCTTGATATCGTGCGCTCTATCTTAGATGATTTCAGAGTGACGTAGAACTGTGACGAAATAGAATCTCTTACATTTTCGTTTCTTTTAAATTATATAAATTCAAATTAATTGAGGTGTAATTAGGAGGTAATATTTACTACAAAGACTAACGAGTGCCGGAGTGCAAAACGTACTTGTACAAACGTCGTAATATTTCATGTTGCAACATGCATGCCAACTTTTCAAACTTACGATAAAGTAACCATTTAATGAATCCAATAATGATTCATGAGGCGTTTTTGTGAAGATACCGTTCTTTTTAAGAAACATACAAGCTTACGCTAATAAGAGTGTATTCATTTTAGCGTACCGAGAAAATAACAGACTTAATGAATCCAGTTCAAGACTGACTTTATTAACGTTATTAGCAATATTTGTAATGTAACAGACGTTCGCCACACATTATTTAAGTACCAGTTAACACTTAAATACGAAATAACAGAGTTGTGTCAGGATCTTTTCTTATCACAGGAACGTTTACGGACGTACTTCCCTCAATATCAAGGAGAATGATATTTGGTTTTACATATCCATCATCAATATATTTGTTGGAGACGTTTAAACTAAATATTCCTCATGAATTTTAAGTGTGTTTTGTTTTCACATTTGATTTTCGTTGCCTGAAGAAATTGCGTCCGCTTGAATCGTTACTCTTCCAAGGCTGAATCATTTTCACTCCAGTGAATGGAAAATGTTTATAGCAATATGTGTTTACCAAGTTTAAAAGTCTTCTTGTACCACTGTTACAGTGTCAAGACTTGAAACACAGTCCCCAAACTCGTTTTTCAAATCTGTTCAACTTTTACGACTTCGTTAATAAATTAATCATAACTTTATTTGCAAAGCAAACTCATACACTGGTTCACTGAACCAATTTAACGATTTTTGCACAGTCTGTACGAAGTGCTGTTTCACTGTTCTCAAAACATCACTCGAGCCATGGGACTGTATTTTG